ACATACATACATACATACATACATATAGTTACGCCCCTATATAAGAAACAGGTTTCAGTTGGAACCATAGTGGCTACTGACACTGTCAGACTGACACATAAATAACCTTCTAACGTAAAATATATTATGGCACTCATTTTAGGAAATCTTGCAATGTTTTTTGTTGTTGTTGATTTTTTGTTTGTTTGTTTGTTTGATTTGAAAAAAATATTAGTTGCAACGGTTTAACAATTAACCCTTACAAACTCACATACAAACTCAAGAATGTGTGTTTTATAATGACTACAAGCATAACAATACAGTTGGAACGACGGCACTTTACAACTCAAGTCTTTATTAGGGAAGACTGTTAACATGTACAGTGGAAAAAAAGACTAGTTTTTTTACCATGGCTATGTTCATACAAGTCGCCATTCAATATTCTGACAGTGGGGACTCATGGGAAAGACGTTTAAGGACTGTCTATTAAATATTTAATAAAGCTATTAAAGCTAGCTGATAGTGTTAAGTGTATTATACACTCTCTCAAAAAAGAAACGCAACCCCAGTCTGAAAATGTGAAAAAAAACAAGAAGAAAAATATTGATTGTAAATACAATTTTTTCTGATATGCACTTATACCATGTTGACTGTTTATTAACGTAAGCGCCCAAACACACCAATTGTCGTGCACAAGGGCATTTTATTGTTACTTTTATCATAGTGAGCAAAATTTTCTCGCGGCCCATGCCAAAAACCTCATGCACGTGCAATTCATGGAAAGAGCAGTAGAAGTATGGGTTTATAAAAGCACGTGTTGATTAGCGATTCACTCTATCATTTTCACCGAAAGACAAGGTCGAATATGCCACGGTTGCGTGCTGCAGATTGAAATATCGCCATTGGTCGTATTGAGGCCGGACAAAGCTTTGGAAACGTTGCCCGGCACCTCAATGTTAATAAAACAACGATTTCCCGACTTTGGAGCCGATACACCCAGTTTCATGCAACTGAAGATCGCCCCAGAAGTGGTAGGCCAAGGGTTACTACACCACCTCAGGATCGATTCATCCGGGTCACCCACCTACGTAATCGGCTAGCCACACCTACCGTCACTGCAACACAGGTGCCAGGTTTGAGAAGAGTGTCCGCACAAACAATTACGAACCGTCTACGAGAGGCCGGTCTACGTGCAAGAAGACCACTTATTGGACCTGTTTTACGCCACAAACATCGACGCCAACGACTCAGGTGGTGCACAAGGGTTCGGATATGGACCCTAAGAAACTGGAGCCGCGTCAGTGAATTTTCTCCAGAATTCTAACGTCAACGTGTTACCATGGCCCTCCCGATCACCAGACATCAACCCAATCGAACATTTTTGGGATTATCTGGACCGACGAGTACGTGCACGTACACCGCCGCCGCAGACGTTGGATGCACTAGCCGTTGCACTGCAGGAGGAGTGGAGAGCAATCCCTCAGGAAAGAATCCGGCGTCTAATCCGTTCTGTTCCTAGGAGGTGTAATGCTGTGATCGCAGCTCGTGGCGCGCATACGAGGTACTGAGAAAGACGCCCCCTTGCGTCACGTCAATCTTAGTGAGAGAACTGTCGAAGTCTGGACTTAACCTTGCATACGTGTACTGCCACCATGCCAAATTTCATATTGTTGTCTTCAATAATAAATGTGTTATAATAACTTGAATATTGAGATAAACATCTTGGAAATATAGGCGTTGCGTTTCTTTTTTTGAGAGAGTGTATACAAACGTCCGGTCAGTTTTTCCATGACGAGGCTACCGTTCACTGGGGAAGCACTGACTCTCTTAAGTCAAGTTTTGTTGAGTCCGCTCTGGATATTGTAGTCGACAATGTACACATTGTTTAACTAACTCATATTCGTTCTCTTCCTGGACGTTGGTTCACCTGTCGATGGGGTCACGGGTGACCCTGTCGTCTATGGCGTCGTAACTCGCTGTGCAGAATTGCGTCCCTTTGGTACGCCAGCAACCTATGATTGTGGGTTCGAATCCCGGTTCGCCCCGATCATGTTTCTAGATTTGTCAGCACCATACCAGAGCTCGTGGGTTTCACCAAATTCTTAAACGTCTTAGACCTGCATCACTTCGGGCTTTTCTCCCACATCAAGCTGGCACACTGTGGTGTAACTGGAATAATGTTCAAAGCGGTGTTAAACCTAAATTCACTCGCTCACCTGTCGATTTCGGTCAGTTTTCGGTGTCTTGCGGTACATCTGTAACATATTATGGGTGTGTAACGTACATGTCGGTCATATCTTGGTAGTGATAGCGATGAATGACCGTGCCCATAGGTGACACCTTCGTACTTAAGCATGTTAGTTAGTTTGTTTGTTTGTTGTTTAACGCCGCACCCAGCGATTTTCCAGCTGTATGCCGGCGGTCTGTAAATAATCGACCAGACAATCCAGTGATTGACATCATGAGTATCTGGGATACGATGACATGCATCAACCAAGTCAGGGAGCCTGACCACCCGATCCCGTTAGTCGCCTCTTACGACAAGTAAAAGTGGCCTTTTACGGCAAGAATGGGTTGCTGGAGACCTATTCTCTACCCGGATCTTTATGTAAGCAGCCAGGTCAAACTAGTGGTCGATAGTGTGAGCACTGAACCCATGTGACAAACTTCTATGTACTCAGCATATCATTGACTACGCCAGTTAACAAATGTACCCGCCTCCTCACATAATCTCACACATGATCTATGCACCCAACCTCAAACTTCACAAATATACCCGGGACTTAACTTCACAAATATACCCGGGACTTAACTTCACAAATATACCCGGGACTTAACTTCACAAATATACCCGGGACTTAACTTCACAGATATGCCCGGGACTTAACTTCACAATATACCCGGGACTTAACTTCACAAATATACCCAGGACTTAACTTCACAAATATACCCGGGACTTAACTTCACAATATACCCGGGACTTAACTTCACGAATATACCCGGGACTTAACTTCACACATGTACCCGACACTCAACTTCACTATGTACCCGACAACTCCCCTAGCCCATGTGTACCCGATCTCCCCAATGTACACTCCCCTAACCCATGTACCTGATACCTCCGCAATGTACCCGACCACTCCCCTAACCCATGTACCTGATACCTCCGCAATGTATCCGACCCCTCCCCTAACCCATGTACCTGATACCTCCGCAATGTATCCGACCACTCCCCTAACCCATGTACCTGATACCTCCACAATGTATCCAACCACTCCCCTAACCAATGTACCTGATATACCTCCGCAATGTATCTGACCACTCCCCTAACCCATGTACCCGACACCTCCCCAATGTATCCGACCACTCCCCTAACCCATGTACCCGACCACTCTCCTAACCCATGTACCCGACACCTCCGCAATGTACCCGACCACTCCCCTAACCCATGTACCCGACGCCCGCACGCACGGTGCAACTATGCAACTACGGCTGTTTCTGTGTGTGTGGGGTGACAATGTGCACTAGATAAACCTAACAAGGAATGTTAAGATGTTAAGAACAATCCTCTCAATTATGCACTTATTCTTCTTCAAAAATATTTCATCATTTGTCTTCAGCCGCAGGCACGGAGGTCTGAGAAGGTTATCTGGTTCAGTCTGATTAGTCATATGCTCATTCAAATCAAGTATTACTTAAGAACCAAGCAAAACTAGATTAGTGAGCTTATATATACATCGATTCGAAAAGAACGCCTTAAATATATCGGATAAGTTAGATCTTCGCTAAACTCGGGCATATGACCATACACATTTAAAAAAATATGCTTATATGCCGTTATCTTTCTCCATGGTTCTGCTTAATGCTAGCACGGGATTTTGTATGGAGAGTAAATGTTTTTTCAGATATATTCTTTAAATTAAAAGTATGAGCTTTAATAATAATTTTTTTTTTAAAAATACGTCTCCAACAATGTATTTTTTTAGGGTGACAAATTCATTTACTTCCAACAGTCTGAACCATAATAGTTATTATTTTATTTTATTGGACAATATATTTCCCCCTCTCTCGCAAATCAGTGTTTCAGATATAGTTCCGTTATTGGCATACATATAATATGTACCTACATGGGACGTTAACCCGACAGTGAACACGCTGTCCAGTGTATGTTTCCATTGAGCCGGTAAGCAGCAACTCCTGTATCAGTTCTACCTTGTGTTTACTTACTGGGTGACCCGTGAAGATCAGGGTACAGAACAGGTCTTCAGCAACCCATGCTTGCCGTACGAGGCAACGATGCTTGTCGTAAGAGGCGACTAACGGGATCGGGTGGTCAGGCTCGCTGACTTGGTTGATGCAAGTCATCGTATCTCAATTGCGTGGATCCAAGCTCATGATGTCAATCACTGGATAGTCTGGTCCAGACTCGATTATTTACAGACCGCTGTCATATGGCTGGAATACTGCTGAGTGCGGCGTTAAACTACAAACAAACAAACAAAACTTACTGGGTTTCCGGATCTACCGACAAATGTGGACAAAACTGTAACATGGAAATTCGGTAAAAAGTATGTGAAAAAATGCGAATCAGCTCCTTCTTGTCCTTGTATCTATTCACCGACCATTCTTTTCAGATACCATTAAAAACGTGTTATTTCATATCATTCAGTTTTCTTTGAAACAGAAGATGGAACTATAAGGCCGTAGTTAACTTTTTTTGACAGTGACAGAGGGGTGATGGGGGGGGGGGGGGGGGGCAAATATTTGTACAAGTATCACTTGTCCCCAACTTGCATTTTCATGATTCAAATAAAACTGTTTTCTATAAAAAGATCCAGGGGGCCTGTACCCCACCCACCCCGGCTGGCTACGGCACCGAACTAAGAGGACTGTTGTGTGAGAACTGAGCGCTTGTAGCACGCCAACATTTCCCGTGAGTCTTGCAGCCGTGGCTTCTTCAGGCCTGTCGCGTCAATGGCCAGCACCGTAGCTGTGGAAGAGGCTAAGCAATGGGCCACAAATCCAGTACATTAATAAATTATACCGCACATTGATCAACGTGTAACAATAAGAATATACTACAAACTACCATAGAATGTCACGATTACCCGACGTCGATCGCCAATGCGCCAACCAGACGACACAAGAAGGAAGCGGATGGATGGATCGAAGAACCGAAACCGGTTTCCAGAATCAATTGGCGTCGTCGGGTGGCTCACTACATTAACTCACTGCTGACAAATATGGTTATTTGAAACCGGTTTACCAACCTATTCAGACTCCGCCTGCGATAGTGCGTTTCCCACAACTCTTTGGTACGGTGACGATTTGACGCAGCAGACGGGCAGTTGACAGACAGACGATCTTCGAGCAGGGCGGATTTGAAGCTGGTTTGGATACTAAACGGATTTTAGAGTTTCAGGACATTTTCGTACTTTGGATATCAGAAACACGTTGTCAAGATGGATTTGATAATGATTCTACAGAATGAGAAGATCAAGGATAAAGTCAAAATGTTGAGTAAGGAAATGAGGGTAAGTCACTTGACCATATTGCCTCCTATACTGGTACAAGTTGAACGCTGGTTATTTTGTTCTTATATTTATGATGTATGCGTATATATCATGCGAATATGCAGCTGTGGTACATATTTACTATTGATCATTTTATGCCGTGTGGATGTATCGATTGAGGTGTTTGTTTTGGGTGGAGAGTCGCCGGTTACCGGGAGATGGTTTCATCACATTCAAAAGAGCTTCTTCAAATACACATTGTTGTCACAGCGGGGAGTACGGAATAATGGAATAGTTGAAATACCAAATAAACATACATCTCACTTAGTCGACATTTAACATAAATTTCATAAACAATCTGAAGAATTGCTCCCCCACCCCTCCCAAAGAACCCATCACCAACAACAACAAAAAAACAAAAACAAAAAATAATATAATTTTTTTTTAAAAAATAAACAAACAAATTGTAATGGGAAGGGATGGCAGCGTTCCACAGAAAAGAAATTCAACCATGTGGTTCGCGTCGTCTTAAACCTATGATCAGATATATATCAGGTTGTATCTGCTGGGTTGTATGTCAGGTTGTATTGCTATATGTCAGGTTGTGTCATGTTGTATTGTATTGTATATAACTTAGTCTTACAGAATTTCTCCCCATACACATACGCATACTAAAGTCAGGAGCATTGAGAATAATCATTGTCTTTATTATCACGAATACGGGTGTAACATGTCATCCAACATATTATACATTTCAATTCATGTTAGTTGACATCGATATGATGTCGTCTAGTCGGGATATGTATCTAAACACGGGCTATCAACATCTCAGTTATATTCTTTATCATTTAAAAATATAAAAAAACCACACCAGAGTACATTAGAAAGTATTTATCAGGCAAATATCAGAGCTGTCTCGCTTAATATCATATCAGGGCTTAATAATCAGACATCACAATCTAGCGATCTGTATGGTAGACGTTTTATTCTTTGGCACCATATCGAAATATGACAGATGTTATGATATATTTTAGTTACATCTGAAGATCCGGGGTAGAATAGATCTTCAGCAACCCATGCTTGCTGTAAAATGCGACTAGCGGGATCGGGTGGTCGGACTCGATTTTGGCGCTACGGCTCTCCTAACTTATACTTTAATATAATCTTGCGCTTCAGTTATTGGATCGTGATCACAAACCGATGAACTGAACTAAATTTGTTAACACGACCCTGGCTATCCATTAGACAACGCAAGAAAACAACTACCGATTTTTTCATATGACTATTGTTAATCTCTCATAGCCTTGACAGATTAACTATAGAAATATGTAACAATCGGATGTTCTTTAACTTAGTTTGAGTAGTATACATAAGTATTTAAATGGCGATTCAAGTTTCAAAGTCACCATCAAACCACCGAACTAAACGAAAACTGACACTTTACACTAAACACGCACCTGTCATTTTATTGATTCGTATCTTCCAGTACTGACGGATTCCGTGCACGTCAACTTTCCACTTGACAGCCCAGGAAATAATGTCCCCCAAACTCTCCTGTTGACAACATGTTTAATGGTTTGGCAGCTTGGCCTAGATTGCCAATGTAATGTACAAGGCAACTGTTAGCTGGAGTAGCTGATGTTACCAGATTGTATGAAGCTGTGAAACTGGATTCAGATGATAGGGCGAACCAATCTCAAATCGGAATGGAGAATTCAACATAGTCACCATGAAAGAAGGGAAGGCTTTTGTAGACATGAACAATAGTCAGATGCAAAAAATAAAGTAAATTATGTTCAAACAAAAGTTTCTGATATATATAAACTAAGCTGCAAAAGAAAGTATAGGTTGGCAATTTGTAATTTTCCTAAAAACAGCGATAACTAGTGGAAAGTGGGTATTGGGAATACGACTGCCCAGGAACAGGTACCAAAAAACACACCTCACCCGAACGCGCTACTTTTGACGGCGCTCGTGCGGTGACAAAAAAAAGGTGAAACAGGTTTCCCGCCTATGGCATAAACTGCACGTGCATGTTAGCAGTATAAATGCGTTCGTCTGCAGGGTATACCCACACATGATGAAAGCACACAAAAGAAATGCCACGACTGTCACAGGAGCAGAGAGAGAGAGAGAGAGTATGGACGAAATGGGGGCAACACAGGTCCAAATTGCCAGAAGGTTTGGTTGTACACCATTGACAGTAGCCAGGCTGATTCAACGGTACAGGCAGACAGGGAGGACACAGGACAGGCCTAGAACCGGACGACCCCAAGTGACAACACTACTGAAAACGTTCAGATACGGCTCATTCACCTGCGAAACAGATTCGTAACGGCGACGGCGACGGCAGCAACAGCGTTGGGACATCCCATTAGCCAACGTACAGTACTACGACGACTTCGTGCTGCTGGAATCCGAGCGTATAGTCCTTTCCGAGGAATGGTACTGACTGCTCAACATCGACGCCTGAGACTGCGATGGGCGAGGCAGGTTCGACGTGGCAAGTGGGAAATTGGCGTCGAGTGCTGTTTTCTGATGAAAGTCGGTTTAACTTGTTTCGAAATGACGGCAGAGAACGAGTTTATCGACGCAGAGGGGAACGTTTGGCTCCGGCGTGTATTCGAGAGGTCCATCCATTCGGCGGGGGAGGTGTCATGGTGTGGGGCGGTATTTGTGGAGATCAGAAGACTGATTTGGTGATTATACAGGGAAACCTGAACGCTGTGCAGTACAGAGACCTACTCTGTACCGTGTTGCCGCCAGTTGTGCTTCCGTTCTTACAAAACCGACAGCAGGGGACACTGTTTCAACACGACATCTGTGGGACCATCTTGACAGTCAGATTAGAGCAGGCCATCAGCCTCCCGTCAACAGATACGAATTGCAGCAGGCCCTGAGAGACGAGTGGCAACGGATTCTTGTCCACGTCATCAGAAGACTGACGTCATCGATACGGGAGTATCACAGCATGCATTGAGGCAGCTGGAGGTCATACACGCTATTGAAGGCAACTGTGTCGACAATGAACTTGTAGAATGTCTGGCAATGTTTGAAAATGAAATTTCTTACCCCACCATTGTTTACCTTGAGCTTACATTACCTGTGATTGCACAATTTCATTCAAACTGTGGTTGATCAATCATTTGTTACCCCTCCCTAGATTATATCATAATTCACAACAAAACCTATTCTTGTTATTTTTTTATCGATCATGGAACTCGACCTATACTTTCTTTTGCCGCCCAGTTTATTTATCATCCAAAACTGGCTCCAACAGCTAGGAGATATTGCTTGGGTGAGATCAAGCGATAACTACATATAGAATACTAAACGATCTTTCTATGGTATCTGACCTCGCTTTCGCTCGGTCAGATACCATAGAAAGTCCACTCGTTTCGTAAAAATGGTATCTAACGAGAATGAGTGTAGTATTCTCTATTGTAGATATCGCTGCAATGAAATTGTATCACAATACTTTGCTGACCATTTTGACGTCATTGTTACCATGACGTCACAATCAAATAACTAATGGCTCTGCTACTGAAGCTGTAAGCAGTACTTTCTACACTTAGACACTGCTTATTACTGTCTACAAAATGAAAAAGTTGGAAGAATGATGTGTGATGATATATAAAATCTCACCCTCGTGTCTTTTGATATCAAATATATCAACACTCTTTGATAAAGGCCTCGGAGTATACCATTGAAGTCTGTGTATTAACTGAAATGATTAATTACAAATATCGTCGTGTGCCAACATAACAGAAACCTTTTCTAACTTTACATTGACGATATAAAGTGAAAACTTAATCTCATTCAATCAGATCTTTTACTCCGATACGATACCTCTCTTCAGTAAAAGATCTGATTTTAATTAGATTGAAGAGTATTGGTGTTTTAACGCAGCTGAAGCTTGGCCCAATAAAGATTATATAGATGTTTATTTATTTTTAAATTATAATTTAAACAAAGTTAAAAAAATCGCAAATATTGGTGCAGGTTTCACCAACGTCTGATCTTGGTTGATGCATGTCATCGTATCACAATTGCATGGATCGATGCTCATGATGTCAATTACTGGATTGTCTGGTCCAGATTCGATTATTTACAGACCGCCATCATAAAGCTTTAATATTGCTGAGTGCGGCGTTTACCGACACATAATCAATATGAAGCATAGAAATAGTGTGGTGCTTTATGACACAATCATTTGGATGATTCTACATATCCTGTTATTTCGACCCTGGGGAGAATGCCACAACCAACTCAAATAACCATTCCATCGTACACTTGGCTTAACTTATGGATGATTTAATCATAAACCATCATGCTTCAGCGATTTTACATTTCGGGAAGTTATAACATTAACATGTCTTTTCTTTCTGTTCATGATGCATAATTCATGTTGTGCAAGGTTCATAATAGCATGACTCCAGAGTGTCGGGGTGATTTTTGGCACTCACGCCTTGTGTCACGCTGGAGAGCACACATCGACCTGAGTGAGTTGGGTTTAACGCCGCTTTGAACAGTATTCCAGATAACTTATATAATTCCACGTGTTTTTGATTCCAATGAGTTTTGCCAGGTCAATAACTCATCACGGTGGGCGGGTTATAGGTTAATCGAATGCACTGAAAACGTGCAAACAGTTACTATGGACAGCAAAGTCCTTTCCGGTGCTGCAATTTGTTGTGCAGAGTACCGCCCCTTACACGTACCAGGATCCGACGACAGTGCGTTCATGTCCAAGCTTCGTCCTGATGATGGTTTGTCAGCACTATACCCACTCGAGTGGGTTTCACGTGTGGTAAAAGCCTAAGATTTACATCACGTTAGGCATTCCTCCCGCTTCATCAAAATACTTACTTCTCTAAACATGTTTCGGCGTGCATAGAAGTTAAATGATTTATACACTGTTTATGTTTTTGCAGATTCCCATTAACCTTTGCAATAGAGTAGCCCCTGGATAAACTGTTCTCTTGTCACATCAGGGTGTGATGAAAACATAAGTATTACAT